GAGCATATATTTTGACAGATCGTGGAAGACGTCTTCGCCGTCAGTCTCAGGACTTCTGGTAAATGGAAATCGTCTCACTTCACCAGAAGTAGCAGAAGGCTCAGTTGAAGAATTGGCCTCTCACTACGAGTATATCTCCAGCGTCGTACACTGCTCTCCGAGCTTTCTGAAGACCAAGAATGGAGAACTGCTGACTACATTTCTCCAGTCACGAGGAAAAAGATTACAATGCTCCTTTTTCCATTGATGACTTTTCCCGTGCCCTCGCTTGTACAAAAGATTGTTCCAGGACCAGACCAAAAACATAATTAAATGCTTAAACACCTACCGGAAAATGTTGGTTCTTTTCTCCTCCGCTTTTTTAACTTGATTCATGATGACCATTCCTTACCAAGGATTTGGCATGAATGCATTGTAATTCCAATCCATAAAGAAGGAAAAGACAAAACAATCCCTACAAGTTACTGCTCAATCTCGCTCACAAGCTGTATGTACAAGTTTTTGAGCAAATGGTAAACAAACGTCTGGTCTGGTTCCAGGAGCAAAGGAATCTATTTACACTTTTTCAGTTTGGTTTTAAGACGCACACGTCAACCATGAATCACTTAATCTCTCTTGCCACACAGATCTCCAATTCCATTGTGCTACAATACCTGGGAGCAATTTTCTTCGGCATAGAGGAAACGTATGACACCACCTAGTTTCTAGTACATTCTCTTTTATCAAGGCTTTTATCAAGTCACCAGTTACAAAACGGTGTTCCCCAGAGATCAATTCTAAGTGTCACTATGTTTGCCATTGCTATCAATAGTATCGCATCAGTAATTCGAGAGCCGGTAAAAGTGTCGATATTCGTCGAAGACTTTGGCATATTCTGCTCCTCGAAGAGCAACGCAAGTTAGGCAGCTACAGTCTGTCCTGAACAAATTGCCAGAATGGAGCAATAAAATTAGATTCAAGTTCTCCACCTCAAAATCCAGTTGCACGCACGTCTGTAGAATATATCACCTCCATAATCATCCTGATCATTTTTTGGGGGCGGGAGGTTCATCAACTTCCCTCGAATCTGCCACTTTTCTTGGCCTGGCATTCTACAAGAGTTTACCATGGCGAAAGGACATTCGAAACTTGATGAGCTGCTGTGTATCACCATTGAATCTCCTTCGCACTCTTACTTGTAGATCATAGGGCGCAGAAGTATGTCTTATGCGCCTAATAAGGACTATAATCCGTCCTATGGATGGATTATTATGGATGTATTGTTTACGGGTCTGCGTCTCCATCGGCTCCTATGGTGCGTAATTATCAGCTATAAATACTCCTTCGCGCCATGCAGTTCTTCACCCTAGTCACAGGACATCGTAAGAACTCAGACCTTGTTACCCCATCCTTTTGGTATCCGTCTCTACGCGCTCTTGCAGAGACTAGATATAAAACGCCCCATCCTTGTGACCCTCCCCCCGAAGCCATGTTCCCCCTTGAAGCTTCTCCGGCCGAAAATAGACCCTAGATTTCACACTTCCCCAAACTCTTCCCAGTGCTATTCTGGCGGAATTCCAGAAGACGAAATATATGTATCCGCCTATAATTTCATATACACTGATGGTTCCTCCCACAATGGTAATGTAGGGTGTGCCTTCTACTACACTTCTACTACCACAGTGCCCCGCGGAGTGTTCGAATAGGCTCTTCGTGCATCATTTATTATGCAGAAAAATATACGCTCCTGGAGGCACTTAAGTTCGCTGAATCGACATTAAGAGAAGCTGTGATCTGAAGTGATACAAAAACCTTGCTTGGGTCTATCTCCTGCTTCTCTCCTTGTGATCCACTGACAATAATCATCCAACACCAAATCCATAATTTACTGGTTCGTCGTTATCGGTTTTTTGTTGGATCCCAGGTCACGTTGGGGTAATATGGAATCCAATTGCTGACCAGGCAGCGAAGCTCACCGCTAAGTAAACGGAAATAGACATCCACTTAATCCCAACAAACGATACGAATACCAAGCTGTTTATCTAACGTATTCTCAGTACATGGCAAACAGAGAGATAGAACGAAGATTTTAAATTAATGAGAATCAAGGATTCGATAAAGTCTTTGTCTTCATCTCGTGGGGTTTTCCCACGGACATCTCTGCGGTGACCCACCCCTACTTGCGATTGTTGCGACACTGATCTTACCGTGGAGCATGTTCTCCTGCTCTCTTCTAGGGTAAGAGATAGCCGCCGAAGGCGTTACCTTGCTAGCTCTCTAGCAAGGGTGCTTGGGAATGACGAATCTCCTCTCTGCAAGCTTTTTTAGCTTATTACGAGATATTGACATTTACAGGGAATGAGAGGTACAAAAACACGTGTTTTGTTACGTATCCAAATTTAAAAAGTTGTTCTTTATAAATATTTACCTTGGTAAATGTGCACTTGATTACAATGAATATTGAAATTTCCTGAAAAAGGGGATAACATATTAACTCCAAAATTTGCTCAAAAAGTGGTTTAATGAACTGATACAATTTTATTTATATTTTTCTCTATGAAAATACATTATAAAAATGTAAAAAGCTTCCCCCTACAAAATTAATCAAATCTTGCTTCCATTCATTCCTAGGCATCATTCTGCTTTTCTACCTGGTCTCTAATGAATCCTTCACGTTTCTCACGAATATACACTTTGTCAGCAGCCTGTGTTCCTTTTTTCACACACCTCTCTATGGATTACCCTTAACGTAGCCACATAGGAACTTGCATTGGTTCTCCAATGAACATTCTTATTTATGAAATTTTGAGTTTTCAAGTAAGTGGTGGTTCATATCTGTTTTCTGTGACTCCTCCTTCCCAACACATGTTTAGTTGAGTCAGCAAAGTTGAGTCAGTTTAGTTTAGCCAGCAAAGTTTCATCAATGCTGCTGTTTTTATTAAGAAATCCAGAAGGTGGTTAGCAATAATTTCCTTTTCGTTAAGTCTTTCTCTGGAGTAAAACAGCTAAGATCCCTTCCACCTGGCTCACTGTAAATAGTGTAATGCTCTTCGCAATACTTGGATATTGATCGCATGAGTAATCTGCTTGTAACAGAACCATATTGGCGTATATCAAAATATATACATACAATATTGCCTAGTAGGCACCGAGCATAAAATTCTTCATCAAGTGATTTCATGACTTTTTCTGGAGTCCTTTTTACTTTCTTGTGATCAACCACAGGTCTCGTGTCTCCTTCAGTAATTAATGCACCATCCAAAATTGAGGTGTAATAGAAGCTGTAGCACGTAGACCGAAATCATACCTAATACGTTGCAATGCAAAATTGCGCAATTGTAATGTATTGTAATGTCTTGTTCTTGAAGTAGAAGGTTCATCAGAATCATCACATGGAATCTGCCAAGGATTTTCGGAGTAGTCATCCCAAACATCAGTTGGCTCTTCATTTTCGTCAGAGAAAAGGACTTAATGTGTTTGTAATATTAACGCTTCCTTTCTTTTTTCTTATATTCAGAAATTATTTTTAATTAATCTTCTTGCCTCTACTGCTTCTTAATTTATCTTCTACGCTCAGGTAGATTTGGTAATCCAATTTGATGCCGCCCAACATCTCCAACCTTCTCTCTTTGACTGTTAATAATAAAATTTCTAGGGAACATCATTTCCTTCATTGCCCCAGTTTTCTTTAGGGCTGTGGCTTTCGAATTCAAAATTGGCGCCCCAAAACAACTGTTTGCTAGATCCTACTTTTCAAGCATTTTTAGATAAACATCCTTTGCAAGAGAGGCAGCTGGGTAATTTCTGCCATTCTGTTCACTCTGCTCTCTTAGCTGCAGCCCATATATTAGAACATCAGGTAGAGTTGGGAGTTCAGAAGGCAGCATTTCTCGACTAGTTCCAATAACGTTACTCATGTGAGTTAACGTTGGCAGTCTTTCTTCCTTTTTCTAGCCATGCTTCCGAATTTTTAGATTTTGCAAGTGGAAGAAAGCATTCGTACCTGGAAAAATAAAAACAAGAAAAACTCCATTTGTATGATATTTATAACAAGTAATAAAAAGACACTCGGCTGCAAATGCGTTTTGTTTGTTTGAAAACTTTTACGAGTGGCTAATTTTTTTTACAGATATAATAGCATAATTTAAGTATATTCTTTACCTTAGGGCAGACACACCTACAGAAACAATAAGAAGGCAGTTCTTGAGAGAAAACAGTTTGCTGTTAATTTGGCGTAAAACGTGAAATTATTATTAATATGAAGTAGCTTTTTACCAAGCAAGCTAATGTAATTCCAGTTTCTTTTAAATATAATTGTGGACCAACCAAAACACATTTTTTGACCCCCCTCATTTTTGGAAAGAGGGATTCAAAAATATTGACACGCCCTAATGTATTAACTTTAACAAGTTTTGTTTTAAGTTGTGCTTCTTACATGAAGAATGTAATTTGTGCTTAATGGCACATCAATGACATGAATGATTATAAATTTATTATATTAAATACTACAATTGATGCAAATGTACATAAATTTATGTTTAATTGGTAGAAATGTATGTATGGTTGCAATATTATTTTGTATTGTGAATTAAATTGTTGTAAATTTGTAAGCAAATGATACGAGCTAATTTCCAATCTATTTTTGCGGCACGCATGGAAATGGGATCATATAAGATTACGAAACGTTGTACACGAGTATTAAAAAAATATAGGGTTGAAATCTGCCCTGTATTGATTGCTCTTAATATAATGAATCATAATATTGAAAGGTCAATTACTAAGAGTTTTTTCAAGTTGCAATTTTATTTGAAATTTATAAAATTGTTCGACTATCTGACTGTGCACTTCGAAAACGAATTAATCAAATTCTTAACTTAAGTTTAAATATACAATTGAAGGAAATCTACTTTCCTAAGAATTAAGTAATTTCGATTTAACTCGAAACCACCATACAACTCTCGGGTTTATCTTATTTCAATTTTTTAACATGCTTATTTCTATTGTAATTTGTTTTTTTATAGGATGTATTTGGCAAGGTAAACCTGCTCAGATAATTTTACACTATGAAGAAGGTTTTACACTTTCAGAATGTAGCAATTCTGAGACTAAAGTTATTTGGAAATATCCTTTTGAGAAACTTCGAACTTCTGGTGATGATGGTGTCAGATTATTATGGTTAGATTTTGGTTCTGAAGATGGGGAAGTGGTAAGTATATTTACTTTTATTAGTGTGAATTTCATAGAGTGTAACGGTACTAACCAAAATACGCATACGCTATGAATCTTTTTTACCTGGAGCATCAGCTTTAAACTGTGTCCAAGAAACTGTGCTTGTATGCTTTCTTACAAGCCTACTAAATCTACACATAGAAGAGAGATTCAAGTGATTGCTATTCGTCTGAGATACATTTTGTGAAAATAAGTTCCAAATTCTCATTTCCCGCAAACCTTGATTCACGAAGTCAACTTAGACTGCATGTGCGCTCCGAATTTTTTGATTGAAATATTAAATATTCAAGACCGTACTAACATTAGAATTACGATTTTTGTGAAGACGAATTCCAACATAAATAAGCGTTTGTGATAGAACCTCTTTGAGTGGACAGAATTTTACATCCCACAAGATGGCTGCGATTAAAAACTATATAATCTCAAAATTCTCATTTTCGTTTTCTGTGACTCTGATGTTTCTGTTTTCTATAGTATTTTTTTCATTGAACCATTATTTAAAAGTTGAATAGCTAGTTGCAAATGATCTAGAAAAGGTCTGATTTGGTAGTGGTTGTAGGTAGGTGGATTTGATTTAATTTTATATTTTTTCTTTAAAATTCTTTAATTTTATCACATTTTTTAGTTTCTTACGGTAATAAATAATTCAAATCTGTTATAAAATAGTATATTTTTTCTTGTACAGCTTTACTTAACTAAATTTTGTGTTTGTCTTCTTTCTCCAGTTTGTCTTTCAGTCATTGGATTTTATTCACTAAATTTCCTGTTATCTAGTGTTTAATTAATTTAAACATAAATATAGCGTCTTACAATGAATTCTGTTTCAATGATTTCAAGGCTAAGCGGAATAAGTATGTAAAGAATTACCCCATAAAGTTTGAACCAACTTTGTGGAGTGTTTGGGATCAAGAAGAACTCTTGTTATGAGGGCTGCCATATTGGGCGGAATTCCGCAAATTGGCTGAAAAAAGACGACTTGTGGGGGAAACTGCATTTTTAGGGATTCCGCCCGACGGCCGGAATTCGTTGTTCGTGGTAGGATTTTAGGCGATGCGATGCTGTTTTTTCTTTTTTTTCTGTGCTTTAACCAATAGTACTAGCTTTTTTTCAAATATTGATGACGTCTGAAAGATAGAAGAAAGAAATGAAAGATTTGGAACTGCAATAAAAGAAAAACAGAAAGTGTATAAAAATATTTGTCAAAGAAAACTGAAGAAGCTACATGATGTATATTACAATTGAGACCTAGCGTACAAAATGATGTTGGGACAAATAAAACAGAGAGCGATACGGCTCGCATATAAGCTGTCGACAAAAAAAAAGACTGAGTAAACATCACAAAGAATTATGGACGGAACCAATGGAACAAGTCAATCTAGATCAAGATCAAACACCCAACTTCAGAAATGGCGAAACACAGCTACAGTCCGTATCAAGGAGATGACATTATATTGGAAGAACTGCACAAAGCCCTACGAAGAGTAATAAATAGAAACGCACCTGGGTTTGATGGAATAAATATTGAACTTATAAAATATGGTGCTTTTTTCTCTGTAAGCCTCCTGCATCTGATCAGTAAATGTTGAAAAACCCAAGAAATACCGTCTTTGGAAACAGCAGATGTCATATTACTGTTTGAAAAGTGAAAAATGAATTTGGAATTATCGATTATTGTTATCAATAGGTAAAAGATAATTCTCGAAGTTCTATTATTGGATGAACAAAATGGCTTCAGGAAAGGAAGATCCCATTTTTTAATATTTATTTATTTATTTATTTAAGTCAAAACGCATTTAAAAACTGTGTGACGTGCTATGAGGAGAAGTTAATTTGAAGTTATATTTATGTCCAGAAGCAAAACAAGCGGCCATCTCAGCATTTGCCATCCTGTCAAGTCAATGCAACAATAATTGGGCAGCTAATATTGAAAAGGGAGTATAACCTGGAAACCCATATATGTTTAATAGATTATGAATTGGCCCAGTTGAGTACACTCTGGAATATTGCGGAGAAAAAGAGAATAATCCTTGCATATATTTAAAGAAATGAGAAGTTGATCAAAAACATACAAACTGTAATCCATACCGGGAAAGAAATGAAAAAGGAAATAAAAATTAATGGAGGGGTGAAGCAAGGCTGCAACTTATCGCCTACATTATATATACCTTGAGATTACGAAAGTTGTGGGATAAAAAATACAAATATAGTGATGTCAGTAGAATCGCATACAAAATTAATAAAAGGGAAGTGCATTGCCATAGATTTCATATCTGCCCGAGTGATTCATGTGAACAGGTTTCTGAAATGATTATGGACGTACGACGGGAATTACGACTAAACACGGAATGGTAGTTAGATTTAGACGCATGGGACATTCCATTTCGGACGTCGTTTAGGAATTGAAAATTCCGAAATCCACCTTTTCAAAAGTGTGCTGAGAATACCTACTTTGTCATATCCTCTCACCATGGACAACGCAGTGGCCGACTGCCTTCACTTAATGACTGAGAGCAGCGACGTATAGAGTGATCAGTGCTAACAGACAAGCAATACTATGTGAAATATCAGAAATCAATATGCGACGCACGACGAACGTATTCGATTGGATAACGCATTTGGCATTGGCCAATTTGCCTTTAATGGTTTACGGTATCGGAAAACCCACTCGAGTGCCTTTGCTAACTGAACGATATCGACTGCAGCGCTTCTAGACCCGTGAGAATCTCGATTGGACCGTAGACTACTGGAAAACCCGTGGCTTATTCAGATAAGTCCCGATTTCAGTTGGTAAGAGCCGGTGACAGGTCTCCAGACTCCACGACCCAAGTTGTCAACAAGCAGTTGTGGCTCCATAATGGTGTGGGCTGTTTTTTATGGAATGAATTGGATCTTCTAGTTCAAATAAACCGATAATGGTTATGTTCAGCTTCTTGGAGACTATTTGCAGGAATTCATGAACTTCAGTTCCCAAACATCGATGGAATTTTATGGATGTCAGTGCGCCGTGTGATCTAGCCACAATTGTTCCGGAATGGTTTGAAGAACATTCGAGAGGTCAGTTCGTGCACATAATCATGCAACCTCTCTCAACTCTGGACTGTTGTAGAGGCAGATGACTCAATATTTCTGCAGGGTACTTCCAACGATTTAAGTCCATTCCAAGTGGAGTTGCTGCACTTCGCCGGGCAAAAGGAGGTCTGAGACGGTATTAGGAGGTATCCCATGATGTTTGGCACCTTCGTGTAGATGTGTGTATTGCGACTGAAGAAAAATCTATATAATCACTATATGACTAATAGAAAACTCCCTAAATTGTTTCATGTACAGAGTTGTCTCGAAAACTAGTAAAATAGCATAAGCGCATACGTTTCCTTCCTTAATTGCCATCCGGCACCACTACTAGTATGGAAGGTACGACAAAACAAGTGATATTCTTTCCGAAACTCAGTGCCAGATGTTAAGACTGCTGAAATGGTTACATCGCGAGCTGCCATTGTAGAAGAACTAGGAGCTGATTATGAAAACATTCGAGTTCTGCAAACTATACACCAGACTTCCTTTTGTTGAAAAAAATAATGGAAAACTTGGCATTATATTTTTGGAGGAGAGTACCAGAGTGTTACAAGACCCCATTCTCCATTTGTGAAATGCTCTTGCGAAACGACCCTCCACAGTTCCGGAAGAAATCCACATCCTAACGCTGCAACATCTTCCCGAAATGTCTAGGCTATCCGGTACGAGACACATCTATCGTGTAGCTGACGTTTCGGCCAACCCATGTGACCTTCCTCAGGGCGTACTGCTACAAACTCCGGTCGCGGAAGCCTACGCAACATCTTCCTGAAACGGCCATTAATTTCTCTGACGTCTTTAAAACAGTATCTGGAACCAGCGCACCACCTCTTCTCTATGACAAAAAGCCATCGTCCCAATTCCCAAGAAGGGCAAGATAGATCATTGTCATCTAACCAGCAGTGTTGGAACGCATGGTAAAGCAGCGTTTGGTTTGGACCATGAAGTGGAAAAATCATATGATTCCAATCGATGTGGGTTGGTCCACGTCGTGGCGGGAGATTCAGAAAGGGGCCCATGTGTTGCGTTCTCCATTTTCATCTTCTTGCTTTCCATTTCATATCACCTATATTGTTTTGCACTCTGTGCATGGCGTTTGCCGTGCATGGCGACCCGTGTCGAAGAGAATGGGTGACCTGGGAGTTGAGGTGTCTGTGTACGCATTCCCGACTATCGCTTTGACAGTGGTTCCTCGTGGATAGACCTCTTCTATCCATGTTCGCTGTGTGAACACCGGTGAGCCCTGGTGAGGGCTTTGCACCTTGGTTTCAATACACGTTCTTTTGCCCCGGACTTTTCTAGACGGGATATCACCCACTCCCGATCAATCGATTCGGACTAAGTCTTGTACTGAACTCCAGGTTGAGCGGGGGGATCCATGGCGGGGCAGCGCTGTGACATCTCCCCACTATATCCTCCTATCAACCCTGCCACCCCAGCGGGGTGTCTCTTTGTTGGACTCCATAGTAGGTGGGGAGCACGGATATGAATTATCGATCGTATTGATACTCAACCTCCACCACTGCCCTCTTCCGCAGGAAACAGGCGATATTATGAGAAAACGGTCGACTTGAATTTTTCCTTACAGAAGAGAATAACGTGAAGTAACCACGGTTTCTTATACCACGCGCCCAAGAAGGCAAAACTTTCAAGAGTGTGAGCGCGGTCTGTTTTGCACGAGAAATCGAAGTTTCTTTCGGAGAGCTCGAAGCGGTCGTGTGACAAAGGAATGGTAATATTCGCATCGATGAACAGATCGAGACGATTATTAAAACTAAGGACATTGACGGTCTCCAGGTGAAAGTGACAACTCACCCTGCCCTTAACCTCTGTAAGGGAGTGGTCATGACGACTTTGCGTCTGAAACGGAGCTCTCCTTTTTCAAGAGCCATCAAGGTGTTCAGA